GCTGCCAGCCCATGCGCCAAGCTGGGCTGGCCCTGGGTTTGCAATCTCTGTGGTGCTGGGATTAGGCAGTAGAAACAGCTTGCAGAATAGCTGTTGGGAGAGAGGGTGACTGGAGTCCCTCTGCCCCTCTACTGGGTCCAGTCTCCTTGACCAGTTTTTCTTCCAGAGCCCAAAGTCCGAGGCCTCATCTAGGTGTGCTGACCTCATCCTGTTTTTCTTCTCTCTTACTTCCAGTCCCCCTGCCCACCCCGCACCCCCGCTTTTCCAGCCTGAGTTGTCATGGGGATTGTCCTCAGCATCCCTAGCTTACTCTTGCCCTTATCTTATGGTATCCATAGCAACAGCCCCCATTCATTTCCATGGCAATTGCATTCTGATCCCATCCCCTGCTGGCTGCCTGCTCTGGACAGGGCCAGTAATGGGAAGGAAGGAGAGAGACCTCCCATTAGGAACAGTATCTAGGGAGGGTCAGTGCCCTACACCATGGGCAGCCCACCCTGAATCCCTATGGAATGTCCTTCCCCACTACCTCCCATCTTAGTGCCTTGGCTCACAAGGTCCCTTACTCCTCATTTCTAACAACTCCTCCTAGGCAAGACCCCATTCAACAGCTTCCTCCCCCAGGAAGCCTTCAAGGCAGCAGGTTTGGGCTTCAAATTCCTATTCTGCCACTTGCTAGCTCTGAGACCTTGGCAGTCACGTTCCCCCTCAGAGCTTTTTTCCTCTGCAAAATATTCCTGTAAAATAGGAAACCTAATTCTTCCTTCACGTTTTCCATGCACGTTAAAAAAATGTGCAGAAAATGCCTGACACAGGGAAGGTGAGCTGTAAGTGCGAGTTTATTGTTATTCTGCTCAGCCACCCACAAGCAGAAGGAATCTCTCTCCTGACCTCCCCCAGCAATTCCTCTGTTCCCTAGCCTGAGAACTTTCAGCTTTGTGCTGTGGTTATTTGTGTAATATGATTTTTCCCCCAACTGCGGTAGATGCTCTCAAGTTGTTCCCTCAGTAGTCCAGAAGACAGTGCCTGTGTGTGTGTGTGTGTGTGTGTGTGTGTGTGTGTGTGTGTGTGTGTGTGAGAGAGAGAGAGAGAGAGAGAAGAGAGAGATTTTCCATGTGATCTGCATGCCCCTGTTTGGGGTGTCCTGAGTTAAGGGATTCCACTTGCCCAGGTCCCATTTTGTCAGCAGGGTGTATGATGACAGGAGCAATGCCCTCAAGCAAGGTCCTCAATGTCCACAATGTCTTCAGTGTACTCAAGCACTGTCCAAAACTGGCAAAAATACCAGGCTCTCTCAGGGGTGGCTGTGCTGACAGAGTTCAGGCTGTCAGGTCTATTCCCTTTGCAATCAAAATAGGGGATGGGCTTTTGCAGGGGGAATTGCTGAAGAGAGGAGAGCTAGGGGAAGCAAAGAGCCAGAAGCAGGGAGAGGCAACAGGATAGCATGAAAAGACAGCCTGAGCCCTGGGTTTGCATCTTGACTTTCTCTCTTAATAGATGTGACCTCCAGCAAGTTTACATCACCTCTCTGAGTCTCAGAGAGGCTCTCATCTATAAAATGGGGCTAATGGTGCCTGTCTCAATAACATATGAGGATTCAGTGAGCTAAATAATGCTGTTAACATGGGAATAGAGGTGACTGTAGGGCCCTATGGCAGCACAGAGAAGGGGCCTGTAAGACAACCTGTGTGGAGGGGGCAGGCAGGCATGGAAGGGCACACCTGAGCTAAATGTTGAAGGATGAGCAGGAAACATTGAATGAGCAGAGGTCAGGTCAGGTGAGCCATCCATGGCTATGGTGAGGAAGCTAAAAGTTACCCTGTGGATGTTGATTCCTCTAAAGCTGACGTCTGCTCATTTCAATCAGAGCAAAAGCCAAAGTCTTTGTCATGGGTTCAATGACCTTCACAATTTTAGTGCCCATTACTTCTTTTATCTTACCTCCTATCATTCTCCTGTCCAACTATAGTGGCCTCCTCACTGTTTCTCAAACATTCCATGCACAGATCTACCTCAGGGCCTTTGCACTGTCTCTATGCTCTGTTTGAACTGCTCTTGCCTCAGATAACCACAAAACTAACTCCCCCACTTACACCAGGGTTCCTCTTATATGCCATTTCTTCAAAAAGACCTTCCCTGACCACCACATCTAAAACAGTGCCTTGTGTCACTGCTGTATTTTCCTTCCTAGCACCTATCTCTACCTGAAATGATAGTATATATTTATAGTTAGCTTCTCCCACTAGAATGTCATCTCCCTGAGGGAATAAATCTTATGCCTTTCATTCATCATTATATTTCCCGCACTCCACACTGTGCCTGGAACACAGAATATGCTCAATTGTTGTTTGTTGAATGATTTATGAGGAGCTGTGGAAGGGTTCTAGTGGGAGAGCGAGATGGTCAGATTTGTACTCTGTTAAACTCTCTCTGACCACAGGATGGAGAATGGATTAGGAGAGGAGACTGGAGGCTGAGGTTGAGGTTCAGGTGAGAGGATTTATTAGTATAACCATCAGAGCTCATTCATGAACTCTCTCTCCAGAAGTTTAATCAAGCACGTACTGTGTTCCAGGCCTTGTGCTCTGTGCGAACTAGGAGATTACCAAATCTTCTTCCTGTGCTGGGATTCTGGGAGTCTTGAACACAAATAACTGTCATGCTTTGCCAAAGCTAACCTGCGCCACAAAAAGAAGGATAGACATGTGCTGTGTGTGGGAGCTCTGAACAGGATCAGCAATGATTTCTGGCTGGAGGCGGGCTTCAGGAGGGCTTCATAGTGGTGGCATATGACCTGAATCTTGATTGAACTAAGGTGTAGGGAGATCTCTCAGATTGCAGATGGCAGAGATGATAGGGACTATGTTCCAGGTGGAAGGTATGAGCAGTTCGGGAGGTAGAAAGCAGAGGAGTATTTGGAAGAAAGAGGATCTGGGCCAAGCTGGAGGGAAGGGTGGATGGGATGGAAGCATGGCCGGCAGCCAACCCTACAGTGTGGATTAATGTTTAAGAGTGTGAGCTTCTGGAGTCAGACTGCCTAGATTTGAATCCTGGCTCTATGGTTAGTAGCTGTGGGCCATAGATATGTTACTACTAATTTCTCCAGGCCTCAGTTCCTTTTTGTGTAAAATGAAAGTAAAGAATACCTATCTCACAGGGTTCTTTTGAAGAGTAAGTTATTAAATATTAAATGGTAAGAACAGTGCCTAATGTGCTGGGTACTCTATTGACACTTAGTAGCTGTTGTATCTTGGAGAGGCCTCAAATGCCAGAATAAAGAACTTGGGCTGTCTTTTGTGGGCAGTGGGAGCTGTGGATGGTTTATGAACAGAGGAGACAGCTGATCAAACCTGGGCTTGAGCTATGTGCTGGGAGGGAAGAGGTTTGAAGGGTTGGTGGGCAGGATGCTGCCATCCAAAGGAGGAGGTGAGGAGCATCTTAGATGCCTGGGGAGCTGGGCAGGCCTGACTTCACAGGCCCCTGGGGCACAGAAGGAGAGATAATTTGGGGTGGAAAGCAGTACCCCCATTTGTTTCCACCTTGCTCCTGGAAGTGTTGCAGGCTGACATGTGGAAGGGTGGAGGATGAGTGGTGGGTGGGAGCTCCAACTAGGGTAGAGCTGAACTCTACCCTGCAGCCCAGGACCCAGTTTTATGGGGGATATAGCCTCCCCATGGCACCCAGCACCCAGCTCAAAGTGCTCTTCTGCAAGGCTAGCAGGTCTGTGGCAGCTCAAGCTCCTGTACTAGTAGGGATCCCCCCTATACCCACCCCAGCTCACCCATGGCCTCTGCCAAGTAAGGGCTGGGCAGTGGCCTCTTAACCTTTTCACCAGCCAGGATGCCCCTCAACCTTGTGCCTGCCCAAACAAGACCATTCTCTGGGCCCCGGCCATGCCCATTCCCCCCCACAATCACCATGTACCTGTCCTCCGGACCTCCCTCCACTGTTCTCCCCACCTCTGTGGCTTCTCACCATGCCTGCTCAGCTCAGGGCACCTGGGTACTGTTGCCACCTGAGTTCCCTGGCAACCTCGTTGCCATGGCACCATGGGAGCAGGTCTGGCGGAACAGCTCTGCATAACCAGGGCAGGCAACGCCCAGTGCCCAGCTCCTACTACTCTTCAGCCTAGAGACTCCTGCCCACCACCCCCAGTTGAGCAGAGGAGGCCATGAGGAGAAAAAGGAAGTTGCCCCGCAGGGCAGCTCTTTACCTGTGAGGATGCTGGATGGGAGGCACCTCCCACTGTTACTGAGCCTGAGCCCTTGCAGCCAGGAAACTCTGGGAACTAGCCAAGCCTGAGGAATCCAGGCAGCTGAGGACAGGGGTGGGGCAGAGGGAGGGGACAGGGCTGAGGGGATACCTGGAGGTGCAGGATGCAGGAGTAGACCTCAGACCTGGGGACAGGGCTGATCTATGGTGGTGCTTGGGGATCAAGCTGGGAGGGAAACCACAGCCCACCGTGTTGTAGACAGAGCCGGTTCGGGATGGAGCTCTCTGGGGAAGAGGTCTGGTGGGGTGGGTGGATAGTTTAGGGATGCAGATGAATGGTTTAGGGATGGAGCTGTTAGGGGACTGGACTATTAGTAAAAGGGGCTTGACAGGACAAGACTGGAAGGAAACCGGTCTGGGGAGGAGGCTGTGAGAAGACATGGCCATGAGGGGACCAGGCTGTGAGGAGTGAGTAGGGCTGGGGACAATACTGTGAGAAGACCCAGCCTTGAGGGAAAGGAGTCTAAGAAGATGGAGCTGTGAGGCGATGGGCTGAAGGGAATAAGGGAATAGGGCTGTGAAGGCCAGGGAGCCTGAAGGGAAGGGACCATGAGGGCAGCTTGGCTGGTGGGACTCCCTCTGACCTTTAAGTATTAGCATCACTATATCTGTGAGGAAGCTGGGAGGATGTGTCTGCGGGAGGGGATCTGGTCCACGCACCCTCAGTCTGGCCCAGCTGGCCTGTCTTCTGCTCCTACATCCTGGCTCATCTTATCTCATCCCCACAGTGTGGAGGGTGATGCCCCAGGCAGTGACCTGAGCACAGCGGTTGATAGTCCTGGGAGCCAACCCCCCTACCGGCTGAGCCAGCTGCCCTCCACCGGCAGTCACATGGGGGGCCCTCCAGCTGGGGTCAGCCTTCCTTGGGCTCAGCGGGCTCGCCTCCAGCCAGCCAGCGTCGCCCTGAGGAAGCAGGAGGAGGAGGAGATAAAGCGTTCCAAGGCCCTGTCGGACAGCTATGAACTTTCCACAGACCTGCAGGACAAGAAGGTGCAGATGAGATGGCTCTGGCTGGGAACGGGGGTGTGAGAGAACCAAGGGAGGGATTGGGATGTGACCCTTGGGGGTGGTATCATTTAGCTGAAAAAAGGTAGACAGGGCACAAAATACTCTGTATAGAAAAAGAAAACTGGAAGGACATATACCAAAATGTTAACTGAGGTTATTCCTGGGTGTTGGGAATTTAGGTGAACCAAAATTCCATCCTCTCTCCCTTCCCTTCCTCCCTCCCTCCTTCCCTTCCTTCCTTCCTTCTCTCCCTCTCTTCCTTTATGTCTCTCTTTCTTCTTCTAGCTCTCAATTCATTTCTTCCTTTCTTGCCTTTTTGGCTCCTCTGTTTTTTCTACCTTACTTTGAATAATGAACATCTATTTCTTGTAAAGAAAAAAAGACAACCCCAGTCCAGTCTGGGGTGACAATTGCTGTCTGAGATTAAAGTGAGGACACAACGTATAGCAGCCTGGTGTAGCCAGGCCACAGCAAGCACTGAACTGGGGCCCCAGGCGGCAGCGTGGCTGAGGTCCAGGGAGATGAGGCTACAGGGAGTTTTTGACCTTGTTCCCCTTGACTTTCCCCTGCCAGGTGGAAATGCTGGAGAGAAAGTATGGGGGCTCCTTCCTGAGCCGCAGGGCTGCCAGGACCATCCAGACGGCCTTCCGCCAGTACCGCATGAATAAGAATTTTGAGCGTCTCCGCAGCTCCGCTTCAGAGAGCCGCATGTCCCGCCGCATCATCCTCTCCAACATGAGGATGCAGTTCTCCTTTGAGGAGTATGAGAAGGCCCAGAACCCCGCGTACTTCGAAGGCAAGCCTGCCTCGCTGGACGAGGGTGCCATGGCTGGTGCCCGGAGCCACCGGCTTGAACGGGGGCTCCCCTATGGAGGCTCCTGTGGAGGAGGTATCGATGGTGGGGGAAGCTCTGTCACCACATCTGGAGAGTTTTCTAATGACATCACAGAGCTCGAGGACTCCTTCTCCAAACAGGTCAGCATCTCTGACAAAGCCTTTCCTTTCCTTCCCTTTCCATGCTTTGGCTTCTCCTATGACTTTTACCTGTACCTCAAACTGAAAGAAATTACCTGAGAAGCGTTCCATAAAAAAGAGTAGCTACCATCTGAGTAGGGACTATGAGAATGATGAGAAAGAATTGGAAAGACGAAAAATCACATAGTTCAAACAAGCAAGGTAGAATCTGGGCATACAGAACACATAAGAAAATTGAAGTTCTCACTCTTTGGAACTTGATCCATTATCACATTAAGACCTTCCTAATAGATGATGAGTTCCTACTCTGTGCCATTGCCTCATAATGACCTACAAGATTTTACAGAGGGGAGATTGAGGCTCTAGGGCCCTGAAAGGTAATGTGACTTTTCCAAACTGGATTGGAATTTAGCTCAGTCTTGTTCCAAAGCCCATGCCCCCCTTCCCTTATACCACATGACCATGGACTCTCACTGTGGGAGAGACAAATGAACCAGCCAGGGTCCTTGTTCTGAAGGACCTTCCCAGGCCAGTAGGAAATGGCAGACACATGTGCACAAGACTGTGCTCAGAGCCATAAGAAACGATCACTTATAGTACCATGGGAACATAGAGGAGGGAAAATAAATGTTCTTCTGGGAGGACCAGAGAAAGCTTCTTTGAGAAAACAGCACTGTAGCGGGCCTTACCAGACACTAAAATTTAGCAAGCTAGAGATAGTTGAGAGGGTGTTGCTGGCATAGGTAGTGCATCAGTGAAAGCATGGAAGGGTGGGAATGTAACAGGCAGTGATGGGGGTGGACATCATTCTAGGCCTAGGGTGGGTCAGCATAGCTGCTCAGGTACAAATCCCAGTTCTGCTATTTCCCAGCTATGTGACCTTGGGCAAACTGTTCAACCACACTGAAAAATGATCAATAGCATGGAGATAAAGCCTTCTTTTTAGAACTGTTTTGAAGAATCAACTCAGCTAGGTCACATATGTGAAAGCATTTAGTAGGTGTTAGCTGCTAAGTACATGTAATTTCCTTCCTGAAACCAAGGAGGTATTTGGCAGCAATTGTTGAATGAACAAATGAATGAATGAAAAGAGAAGAAATCACTCTGCTTTAACATTTGTGATCTGGCATTCTTCCCCAGAGCTAGTGAAGGAGTGTGTGTATGGGAAGGAAAGAAGTATTAGAGGGAAGATCTAAATCACTCATCCATTCATACAACAAACATTTACTGAACATCTCTTCTGTGTCATAAAATGTGTTGAGCTGAACTAAAAAGAGAGAAACCAGGCCCAGACCCATTCCTCTAGAGGAGAATGGGGAATGGTGGGGAGACTAAGGAACCAGGCTTGGGCCTAGCTGTCTACGCTATCCAAGCCTGATGGGGAAGCATATTAGTTCCATGTGTTAGTTACATTGCTGCATAACAAATGACCCCAAAATTTAGTAGCTTAAAACTGAACTTTGACAGGAAGATGGTGGCATGAGTAGTTCAGAGGAAATCTCCTCCCCAAAACATATATATTTATGAAAATACAATAAATACAACTATTCCTAAAAGAGACACCAGTGGATGTAGTACAACAGCCAGGATACATCTACATCTCTGAGAACTCAGCATCACATGAAGGGGGTAAGATACAAGCTGCGGCCAGGCGGGACCCAAACACTCCCTCACCCCAAAACCTGGCAGGAAGAAAGGAGTTGGAATGGGGAGGGAGTGAAAGCCCAGGACTGCTAAACAACCAGCTCTAGGAATCCGCACCAGGAACACAGACACAAGGTGAACAGGGTGCTGGATATTAGAGAAACAGAAAAGCAAAACCTGTGGGCAGGTCCCTGCAACCAGCGCCCCTGAGGCAAAAGAAAAGCGAGTGTTTTCTGCAAGTCTTAAAGAGACAGGGACCCCACAGCTGGACGAAGTTGTCACAGCACATAGCCAGCAGCTGGGAATCTTGGGGAAACAGGTGCCCTAAACCCCGGGGAGGCAGCGCAGCTCTGAAGCTCCTCATGGCACTAAGCAGCATGCCAGTCGTTCCTCCAACTGGCGCGGACCCCGACACACTGGCCCAGTAGCGGGAGAGTGGCGGCGTGTGCCAGGGACGGTGGCGCTGGAAGGGGCCGAGAGCAGATCCGTGTGCCAAAGGCACCAGAGAAGACGAGGAGAGGCTTTTGCGAACCCGCAGCGGCGCGACCAAACAGCCCGGGTGCGGCTCGCACGCACCGGTGGCAGGGGAGCCAGAGGAGCCCAGTAGAGGCCCGCGTGCACCAGAGGGAACAGGCACGCTCCAAGCAGTGGACCAGAATCCCAGCCCAAGGCACAGCTGCACAGGCCAGATCCAAAGGCCGCTGTTGGTACAAAGCTGCTCGGCAGGGTTGCCGCTAGCAGAGAGGAGCGCACCTGGTGTGCCTGCCACTCCCTGCAGGGCTCCATGCTGCTCTGACAAACACCCCGCCCACAGCAGCTTAGGGGACTAATCCGGTGGCTGCTCCAGGAGTGCGGGTAACTGTCACAGGCAGCGGAGAAGCACAAGGCATCCAGCAAGCAGGAAAGGATTTTCTTCTTGCAGCTGACACACCCACAACCTGCCTACAGACACTGCTATCACCATGAAAAGGCAAAAAAATTTGCTCCAGTCCAAGATACTTCAAACACCACCTGAGAAAGGATCTGCAGAGGCACACCTAACCAATCTCCCTGAAAAAGAATTCAAAATAAAAATCATAAACATGCTGACAGAGCTGCAGAGAAATATGCCAGAGCTAAGGGATGAAGTCTGGAGGGAGAATACAGATGTCTGGAGGGATATTACAGAAGTGAAACAAACTCTGGAAGGATTTATAAGCAGAATGGATAAGATGCAAGAGGCCATTGATGGAATAGAAACCAGAGAACAGGAATGCATAGAAAGCTGATGCAGAGAGAGATAAAAGGATCTGCAGGAATGAAACAATATTAAGAGAACTGTGTGACCAATCCAAAAGGAACAATGTCAACATTATAGGGGTACCAGAGGAACAAGAGAGAGAAAAAGGGATAGAAAGTGTCTTTGAAGAAATAATTGCTGAGAACTTCCCCAAATTGGGGGAGGAAATAGTTGCTCAGACTACGGAGGCACACAGAACTCCCGAGAGATGGGATCTGAAGAGGACAACACCAAGACACACAATAATTAAAATGGCAAAGATCAAGGACAAGGACAGAGTATTAAAGGCAGCCAGAGAGAGAAAAAAGGTCACCTACAAAGGAAAACCCATCAGGCTATCATCAGAATTCTCAACAGAAACCTTACAGGACAGAAGAGAATGGCATGATATATTTAATGCAACACCAAGACACACAATAATTAAAATGGCAAAGATCAAGGACAAGGACAGAGTATTAAAGGCAGCCAGAGAGAGAAAAAAGGTCACCTACAAAGGAAAACCCATCAGGCTATCATCAGAATTCTCAACAGAAACCTTACAGGACAGAAGAGAATGGCATGATATATTTAATGCAACACCAAGACACACAATAATTAAAATGGCAAAGATCAAGGACAAGGACAGAGTATTAAAGGCAGCCAGAGAGAGAAAAAAGGTCACCTACAAAGGAAAACCCATCAGGCTATCATCAGAATTCTCAACAGAAACCTTACAGGACAGAAGAGAATGGCATGATATATTTAATGCAATGAAACAGAAGGGCCTTGAACCAAGGATACTGTATCCAGCATGATTATCATTTAAATATGAAGGAGGGATTAAACAATTCCCAGACAAGCAAAAGATGAGGGAATTTGCCTCCCACAAACCACCTCTACAGAGCATCTTACAGGGACTGCTCTAGATGGGAGCACTCCTAAAAAGAGCACAGAACAAAACACCCAACATATGAAGAAGGAAGGAGGAGGAATAAGAAGGGAGAGAAATAAAGAATCATCAGACCGTGTTTATAATAGCTCAACAAGCGAGTTAAGTCAGATAGTAAGAAAGTAAAGAAGCTAACCCTGAACCTTTGGTAAACACAAACTTAAAGCCTGCAATGGCAATAAGTACATACCTTTCAATAATCACCCTAAATGTAAATGGACTGAATGCACCAATCAAAAGACATAGAGTAATAGAATGGAAAAAAAGCAAGATCTATCCATATGCTGCTTACAAGAGACTCACCTCAAACCCAAAGACATGCACAGACTTAAAGTCAAGGGATGGAAAAAGATATTTCATGCAAACAACAGAGGGAAAAAAGCAGGTGTTGCAATTCTAGTATCAGACAAAACAGACTTCAAAACAAAGAAATTAAAAAGAGATAAAGAAGGACATTACATAATGATAAAGAGCTCAGTCCAACAAGAGGATATAACCAATATAAACATACATGCACCCAACACAGGAGTACCAGCATAAGTAAAGGAAATACTAACAGAACTGAAGGAGGAAATAGAATGCAATGCATTCATTTTAGAAGAATTCAACACACCACTCACTCCAAAGGATAGATCCACCAGACAGAAAATAAGCAAGGACACACTGGCACTGAACAACACACTAGAACAGATGGACCTAATAGATATCTATAGAACTCTACATCCAAAAGCAACAGAATACACATTCTTCTCAAGTGTACATGGGACATTCTCCAAAATAGACCACATACAAGGCCAAAAAAAGAGCCTCAGTAAATAAAAAAAGATTGAAATTCTACCAAACAACTTCTCAGACCAAAAAGGTACAAAACTAGAAATTATTGTACAAAGAAAGCAAAAAGGCTCACAAACACATAAAGGCTTAACAACATGCTCTTAAATAATCAATGGATCAACGACCAAATCAAAACAGAGATCAAACAATATATGGAAACAAATGACAACAACAACACAAAGCCCCAACTTCTGTGGGACGCAGCAAAAGCAGTTTTAAGAGGAAAGTATATAGCAATGCAGGCATACTTAAACAACGAAGAACAATCCCACATGAATAGTCTAACGTCACAATTATCGAATTGGAAAAAGAAGAACAAATGAGGCCTAAAGTCAGCAGAAGGAGGGACATAATAAAGATCAGATAATAAATAAATAAAATTGAGAAGAATAAAACAATAGAAAAATCAATGAAACCAAGAGCTGGTTCTTTGACAAAATAAAAAAGCCTCTAGGCAGAGACTTATTAAGAGAAAAAGAGAATCAACACACATCAACAGAATCAGAAAAGAGAAAGAAAAATCATGATGGACCGCACAGAAATACAAAGAATTATTAGAGAATACTATGAAAACCTATACGCTAACAAGCTGGAAAACCTAGGAGAAAGGGAAAACTTCCTAGAAAAATACAACCTTCCAAGACTGACCCAGAAAGAAACAAAATCTAAACAGACCAATTACCAGCAATGAAATTGAATCGGTAATCAGAAAACTACCCAAGAATAAAACCCTCGGGCCAGATGGATTTACCTCAGAATTTTATCAGACATACAGAGAAGTTATAATTCCCATTCTCCTTAAAGTTTTCCAAAAAATAGAAGAGGAGGGAATACTCACAAACTCATTCTATGAAGGCAACATCACCCTAATACCAAAACCAGACAAAGACCCACCAAAAAAGAAAACTACAGAGCAATATCCCTGATGAACATAGATGCAAAAATACTCAACAAAATATTAGCAAACCGAATTCAAAAATACATCAAGAGGATCATACACCATGACCAAGTGGGATTCATCCCAGGGATGCAAGGATGGTACAACATTCGAAAATCTATCAACATCATCCACCACATCAACAAAAAGGACAAAAACCACATGATCATCTCCATAGATGCTTAAAAAGCATTCGACAAAATTCAACATCCATTCATGATAAAAACTCTCAACAAAATGGGCATAGAAGGCAAGCACCTCAACATAATAAAGGCCATATATGATAAACCCACAGCTAACATCATACTGAACAGTGAGAGGCTGAAACCTTTTCCTCTGAGATCGGGAACAAGACAGGGATGCCCATTCTCCCCACTGTTATTCAACGTGGTACTGGAGGTCCTAGCCATGGCAATCAGACAAAACAAAGGAATACAAGGAATACAATTGGTAAAGAAGAAGTCAAACTGTCACTATTTGCAGATGACGTGATATTGTACATAAAAAACCCTAAAGACTCCACTCCAAAACTACTAGAACTAATATCGGAATTCAGCAAAGTTGCAGGATACAAAA